AGGAGGAGAGGCGGCACCGATCTCTGCTGGTGACCAGCGACGGGACGCGAAGGAGCGACATGGGGCTGTGTCCGGGCAGGGTTAGCTGAGATAACAGGAAAGGGTTTTTAACCCAGAGTGTGGTGGGGCACTGGAGCAGCTTCCCGGAGAAGTGGTCATAGCCACAAGCCTGACAGAGCTCAGAGAGCATTTGGACAATGATCTCAGGCACATGGTGTGATTCTTGGGTCTTTTCCTGTGCAGGGCCACGACTTGGACTTTGATGATAGAATCCATAGAATCAACAGGGTTGGAAGAGACCTCAAAGATCATAAAGTACAACCCTACCGTCATTACTAGACCATGGCACTAAGTGCCACATCCAGTCTCATCTTGAAAACCTCCAGGGAAGGTGAATTCACCACTTCCCTGGGCAGCCCATTTCAATGCCTCATTACTCTCTCTGTATAAAATCTCTTCCTAATATCCAACCTAAACCTCCCCTGGCAGAGCTTGAGTCTGTGCCCTCTTGTCCTACTGCTGGTTGCCTGGGAGAAGAGACCAACCCCCACCTGACTCCAACCTCCTTTCAGGGAGTTGTAGAGGGTGATAAGGTCTCCCCTGAGCCTCTTCTTCTCCAGTGATCCTTGAGGGTCCCTTCTAACTCAGGATATTCCATGGTTCTATGCATTTGAGTTCTGCTCTTTGTGTGGCTGCATGGCGATGTTCCCTTTCTGTTAGGTTTTCAGTCTTGCTGCAATAAATGTGCAGTAAATCCTGTAGAATTGCAGCCTGTACCATCGAGATTGTGTAGTTAATGGAAAGCTTCATGTTAGGCACAGGAGAAACACATGTGTTTCCCAAAACTGTTTGTGATCACCAGAAATCACCTGTGTGGGAAGCAGCAGGGCTGGCAGACACTATGGGACAGGTGACAGAATGTGGGCGTTGAGGGGTGTGTGAGCAGCAAGCACAGTTGGACTCAGTGATCTTTGTGGGTCCTGTCCAACTTAGGATATTCTATAATTCTATACTTTAGCATGTTTGGGAGAAGGACAGCAGGATTCATAACACTGTCTGTGCCTGCTGTGGTGCTGTTACATGTTACAATTAAAAGTCATCCAGAGTTTTGTCTTTAGAGTTGAGATCTGCCTTGAAATAGGATCTGGATCTGGTGTGGTTTCGACGTTTCTAGCTTCTTCCATCCTTGGATCCAGTGCAGTGTACATGTAAGTGTAACCAGCACTTAAACTGTTGCATGCAGTAATAAAGGATGCTTGACCCTCACATATATAATTCCTATTTTCGCATTTTAAAAACTATTCTTTTCACAAAGAAATACTAGCTCAATTCTGTAGATATAGAAACCAAAGCAGAGAGATCCTTTTGAGCATTTCTGTGTGGCCCGAGGTGGGGGAAGCACCATCACAGAGCCTGAGCTTCAGGTTCTGTAACAAATAAGTGGTGCTGTGACTAGAATTCCATTTTCCTATTTCTTAGACAAATTTCAAAGCCTACACTTGTGTTTGCTGGGTTGAATCCTAAATTTTAGCCACTGACTAGTCTTACTAATCTTGGTCTGACTTAGTCCAGTGAGATTAGTTACCTGGGTGTTGGTAGTAACTGAATTTTATTAGAGACTTGTATGCATATATATTCATGGAGGGCTAGCACTGAAATGGAAGGTGTTAGAATGAAGATATCCTTTACTTCAGCTTTTCAACTTTCAGACTGCCATTAAAACTTCCAGTGTAGCATTGAATGGTTTAGCTGCTAATACACTGCGTGTATTTTACTGACTATATTTTGCTATTTATTTGCCAAGTGAAGGATGCTGAAAAGCATATTTTCATTCAGACTACACAAATTAGCATGTGGTTCATAGGGTTAAACTTCCAGATATGGTAGTCTATAACTTACATTTTGTTAACATTTTGCTTATAGATGTACAGATATCAACCCCATGGCAGCTTACTGCACACAGGAGACAGCTCTGCTTAACAATGTTCACCTTCAGCCAGTCATTACTGACTTGGTAAGGTAGATGTTTCAATAATATCTTCTTTATAGTTTTTGTAATGTTTTAATAGTTATTAGAGATCACAGAATCACAGAACAGTTGGGATTGGAAGGGACCTCTGGAGGTCATCTAGTCAGCAACCCTGCCAAGACAGGGTCACCTAGAGCAGGTTGCACAGGAATGTGTCCAGGTGGGTTTTGAACATCTCCAGAGAGGGAGACTCCAGAAGCTCCTGGGCAGCCTGTTCCAGTGCTCTGCCACCCTTGATGTAAAGAAGCTCTTCCTCATCGTGAAATGGAACTTCTTGTCTTTTAGTTTATGGCCATTACTCCTTGTCCTGTCCCAGGCAGCACAATAAAGATTCTGGCACCATTCTCTTAATGCCCTCCTTTGACATATTTGTGTGCATTAATGAAATCCCATCAGTCTTCTCTTCTCTAGACTGAACAAGCCCAGCTTCCACAGTCTGTCCTCATAAGAGAGATGCTCCATATGGCTAATCACCCTGATACTGAAAAGTAACTGCAAAGCCTTAGAACAAACTTTCTCTTAATAAGTGTGGATGGGAAAAAAAAGAAAACACCAGAATGCCAAAGTGTTTCTAAAAGAAGGGGAAGACAATTTACTCAAGCTCTGAAATTCAAAATTAAGCTTTAAAATTCATTGAGTTTAAAAACTAAATTATGTAGATATATTTTGGAAAATGCTGTACAAGGAATTCTTTAGTGACCTGACATTATCATAGCCCTTCCTCTAAAGCTAGGCAGATCTTGGTTCTCAGCCTTTTCTGATTTAATTAGGACCTGTGTATGTTGTTACTTTAGGTTCCTTAGAAAATTTGATACAGAGAAAAACTAATTTTCTCATCTCTCTGATCCCAAGTATATATGTTTGTAAGAGATACTGAAGATAGGCAGCAATAAATGGAATTTAAAATGGATGAACAGCTGCTCATGAGAACTGAACTGCAGTTGTCACAGATTGGTCGTTTTGGGTAACAAATGCTAACCTATGATAAATTCAGCATTTTATATCCAGCTTAAATTCTGAACTGAGCAAGAATAATGTACTGCTCTTTTGCCCACATGGGTATTTTTTCCTGATGCTTCTCTTGCACATAGAAACTAAAGTTTAGTGTTCCTGAGTCCAGCTGAAATGCTCAGAATATCCAGCACTATGTAACTGAATTTTTACAAAATATTTCTATTCTTCATGTTACTACAAAAAACAACTACACAAAAGAATCATCAATTTCATCTACAGGTCAAAGGACTGTCTCCAAGATTAAATGGGAAGGTTGATCTACTGCTGTTTAATCCACCATATGTGGTAACACCTTCTGAAGAGGTAGGAAAAATTTGGAATACACAATTAAAATGTTATTTCTACTGTCAGAGGGGAGATGGCAAATCAAAAAAACCCTATGAAAACTGCTAGGTTTTTTTTTTAAATAGTAAAGGGTGTTGTAGGACCAGCACTGATTTACTGGAGTTCCCTATAAAGACTATAAGGAAATAAGGATTGCAAGCTGCTGCTTTTCAATAGCTGCTTTCTCCATCAAGTATAAACCATGTAGGACTTCTGTTAGGCATGCTAAAGTATTCTTATAGAAGACTTTCAATGGAAGATGCATTTGTTCTCTGCAGAATACAAATCCTCTGCTTCTGCAGACTCCTACTCTCAGAATTTGACCTATGAACACTTAAAGGGTTTTCTTACCACCTTCCACTTGGCAAACAAGCTCATGAAACATTACAAGAGCACACATACAAAGTATGTGATGAAGTAGCTCTTTTAATTTAGTTTAAGAAAAGAACTTGAAACAAAAGTAGTATGTTCATCCTGTACAAAGTAGTCTTGAAGTAATTTGCTGCATAATCTAACCTGATGAATTACAACTATCAGATTTCTAATGGCAGACACCTAAAGCTAGAGATTATGGTGATGTTTCTCTTATAAGTACCAGTGTGACAATTCTATTGTTCTATATTATGACAGGCTTTGCTTTCATTCTTCCTAGGTGAAAAGCCATGGAATAGAGGCATCCTGGGCTGGTGGCAAACAGGGAAGAGAAGTAATGGATAGAGTCTTCCCATTAGTGCCAGACCTGCTCTCACCAGGAGGATTATTCTACTTGGTCACAATTAAAGAAAATAATCCAGGTGATCACTTTCCTTGGACAATTAAATGTGCCAAACCAGATTTAACACTGTGTTAATCAAAATATTGATCACAGTTAGAACAAAAATGCAAGCATATTTACCAAAACCAAAAACTCCTCAAGCTAGTTTGGAAAATTGCAATATGTAGGACACTGGCAGCTCTGCAAGAATTCAGTTTCAAGTCTGAAAGATGAAGCCAGGCCAATCCTTTCTTATGGAAGAGAATGGAGGTATAAACTTAAAAGGCAAAAGCCTTTAGCTGGAAATGTGATTTATTTCATTTTACAGGTGTAGAGGAAAGATTTGGACTTGCTCCTTCTGACCTAATGCTTAATGACTGCATGTTACCAAGTCATTTCAAGAAAAAAGATTATTCTTCACACCTGATTTATTAGGCAGCTTTAGGGAGAAGGTGCTACAAATTCCACTTTCTCCTCCAAATTAACTCTGTACAAAATTCTTCTTCAGTTAGTAAATACTGCTTTGCATAAAAAGTACTGTCTGAAAAAGTAAGAGGATACAGTTTATAATCTTTGCTTTACAGCTTATGTTTGGCAGACACTTTAGCACTGTCTTTCACTGCACTTTCAATTACAGATGAAATTCTGGAAACAATGAAGAAAAGTGGCTTAGAAGGCACACAAGTACTTTCCAGGCAAGCAGGACAAGAGATGCTGTCTATCCTCAGATTTAGGAAGTCTTGAAAACTTCTTCACCTTCCAGGTAGTAGGCATGCAGAAAGCTGAACACGGAGTACTGAAATAGTCAAACCAATTTTTAAGCCAAGACTTTCACCCTCTTTAAGGTGTATGCTCACTTCCTGATTACTGTAGTGAAACTGATCAGAACTCTATATTTATTATGGATGTGAACCAGCTATTATCTGCTGGCAGAGGTACAGGTAACCTCTGGCTATCTGCAGGGCAGTTTTGAAGGAACTGTGAAATACTCTATTCCGTTGCATTTGTTTTATAAACTTTATAAACAGGTATTTGTATATTTGTCATTGTGTCTTATTAAAATAATGTACTTGATGTAATTGCTCCTGTTTTTATACCTAGTCTGTAGCTATGCTGGGTTTAAATTAATACTTTGAATCAGTGGTACTCCTTCTAATGTAGTATCAGGCACTTTTACAGATATAAGGCACAATCAACATATTGTTTCTGTTATAAGGAAATGGTGTACTTCTGAACAGAAAGGTGCAGCAAGTGTCTTTCCTGTGCCAGGTCCTGCCCTTGGGTCACAACAACCCCATGCAGCACTATAGGCTTGGGGCCAAGTGGCTGGAAAGTGACTGGGCAGAAAAGGACCTGGGAGTGCTTGTCAATAGCAGCTGAACATGAGGCATCAGTGTATCCAGGTGGGCAAGAACAATGGCATCCTAGCTTGTATTAACAATGGTAGGGCCAGGAGGACCAGAGCAGGGACCATCTCCCTGTGCTGGGCACTGGTGAAGCACCTCAAACCCTGTGCTCAGTTTTGGGCCCCTCACTGCAAGAAGGACATTGAGGTGCTGGACTGTGTCCAGAGAAGGGCAACAGAGCTGGGGAAGGGTCTGGTGCAAAAGTCTGATGAGGGAACTAGTGGGGCTCAGCCTGGAGAAAAGGAGGCTCAGGAAGGACCTTCTTGCTCTCTACAACTCTCTGAAAGGAGGCTGCAGCCAGGTGGGGGCAGTCTCTCTTCTCAGGTAACAAGCAACAGACTGAGAGAAAACAGCTTCAAGTGGCACCTGGGGAGGTTTAGCGGGTTGTCAAGCTTTGGAACAGGCTTGCCAAGGAAGTGGTAGAGTCACCAATTCTGGAAGTGTTCAAAAAACTTGGGTATATGGCACTTGAGCACATGGTTTAATGATTAACATGGAGGTGGTGCTGAGCAGATTGTTGGACGTGATGATATTAAAAGTCTTTTCCAGCCTTAACAGTTCTATGATTCAAAGCATGCTATTGCTCTCCTGAAGTCTTCTGGGCAAGAGTGTGGTGATTGTGCTCCCTTTTATGCCATTTTACAAGAGGATACGTGGAGCAATCTAGATGAAGAGTATTAAGGTATTGACCACTTTGGCTAACAAAGATTGCAAAAGTAACATTGAAAGATTTTAAGACACAGTCAAAACATGCAGTGGAATCAAACTACAGGTTTAATAAAAGGAAGTTTTAATTAAACTGTCTAGATTTTAGTTCTCACTGAAGAATTGGTTTAACAATCAGTTATCAAAGATAAAAAAGGACAGTCATCTGGCACAGTAGATCACAATGCTCAACAGTGTGTGCAGTTTTAAATTATAAAGGATGGAATAATGAAAATCAGAACACAAAGTATAATAAAACAACATACTGTTAAAAAGAAATTATTGTACTGGACTATCTGACTATTTGAAAAGGAAATATATGCACCCACTTTTAATAAATCATGAGTCAGTTCTCCTGGCTTCACTGTACTGCTGTCTGCTGCAACTTTAGTAGGAGTACTTCCCAAAATGCAATTCAAATAACACAGGTGAGTTCTACCAGAGGTGATCCCTACTATGCTCCCATCATCCTGGTGAAAACTGGGACTAGTGACAGAACAGGTAACTTTTTTCTTTTTTTATTAAATTTTGAAATTTCCTCTGTCTACAGAGGTGTGCATGTACACTTAGCATTTGCTAAATTAGGGTCTGCTAGAAGAGTTTAAGATGGCTCTTTTCAAGCATTACCCAGTAACCCCAACTGCCCCTCAGATCAGTTACTGACTGCAAATAAGTCATTCAGAGTAACACCAAAGTGATGCAGTGGAGAAAATCCTGGAGTTTTAGCATCAGGAATTATGAAACAATACAGCTTGCTCACTACTCTGTCTTTTCAGTTAGACCTTTTCAATACCAGTTTTAAATCCTTTCTATTCTCCCTTTTGCAAAAAAGAAAAAAAAATGCAAGGAATTTCTCCTCTGGAATCTCAGCATTACGTGTTAAAATATAGACTTCAGTTATCAACAGCTAACAGTAATTTCTAGAGCTGACACCTCCGAAGTGACCAACTTTGAGAAGACATTCGAAATCTAAGAATAATAGCTGCTGAGGTACAGCCAATTGAGTACACTGCAAACTTGGTTTCTGAAAATTTATACTATTAATTTCTGAAAGTTTACCAGACAAGAGGAAGAGGCAGCAACATTCCAACAGCAACATTCTTTTTCCCCCACGAAAGTGTGACTGTTATGAATGCGCTATATTCAAAATCAAGTCTTTATACCATCTGGGTTAAATTTACCTGTTATATTAAGACGTATGATCTGGATTAATTATGTAACACCATGTTAGAATATGCCTAAAGTAAGAGATTTTAATCAACTATGCTGTGGCTTAAGCACCACTTTTCAGAAAAAACTCTACATGGTTTCTGAGATTTTTAATATATCTTAGAAATATACAAATTAAAATAAATTATTCTTACATATCTCTTTATATCAAAGAAGAATCTTCAAACTTAGAAAAACCAGTCCAGAGGCAAATAAGCATCATATCCCACTAGTCATGAATTTAAAGTAACTGACATTATTTCCAAGTAGTTAGCTTTCAATGTACAGTTTATTGCCTGCTCTTCATTTGTTACTTAGCTCACAGAAAGACGACTTTTATTTCAGAAGAAAGTCTCTCGACAGAGTGGACAAGTGGATTTGTTGCTGGATGTGAACCATTTGTACTGCAACAGAAAAATACAGCTGTTTAATATGCAAATACAAGCTGAATACCAGGAACATCATCAATAATAACAGTCATCTGCCAATGCATATAGCTATCAAAACATTAACTGAACTTTGAAAAAAAAAAAAGAAACAATAAAAAAATTTTCAGTTGCATATCTATGCATATGTCTTTGTATGTACACATACTACACATACATTGTAGCAGGCCCTCTCTCATGACATGCCCCTTACGTCTGAGTACAAAATCCATACAAATAATTTATGAGTTCAGTTAATCCCAGATCCTCCAATGACAAAGTGGAAAACTGATGGCACTACAGTAGAAGTTCCTGGCTTAAACTATATATGGATAGCCAGGTTGGATGGGGCTCTGAGCAACCTGGTCTATTGGAAGGTTGGAACTAGACGATCTTTAAGATCCCTTCCAACCCAACCCACTCTAGAATACTGTGACATTTTGCCTGTTTAAAACAATTTACAGCCTACATACTTACCAAGCAAGCTGAATGAAACTTTTTCTTGCATGTTCTGCAAGCCTTTTTGGGAAGAGAATAGTTGGAACCATGAATGACTGAAAAACAAATCATGCAGTCTTCAACTCCTTCAAAACGTTTATCCACATTATTTTTCCACAAAGACAAGCCTTCCATAATACTTCCATTCTAACAGAGAGAAAAGAACTGTTAGTACCATAGAATTCCTTGGGACTGCTCCCACTATTATTCATAAACACATGAAGCCTGAAGGCTTTACAATATGAAATTATATGCAATTCATGCAGTGAATAATTTATGACAGTCTAGTCTACAGAAATGCAAGCATTCATCACAATGGGAATGCATTTAGGGGCACTTAAAAAGGGACTTTAAGATTTTCAATCACTGTTTTGTTTTGTACTACCCACAGATGACGCAACTTCAGCAACCACCAGCCTTTAGAGAATTTCATATACTGGGTTTTTGGTTTTGATTTGAGATGGCATTGCTACACAGGGCAAACACTGGCCCATGTCTTAAGAGATCTAAATTTTCACATTGGACCATGGATTTAACAGGACTTTGTAAAACTAATCATTTTACCTCTGTTTAAGCATCAAGAGAAAAGCAGAGGGTAAGAGTGGCCAATCTATGAAGTCCTTTGAGCTCTACTGATGAGATCCATTATACAAATCTATATAATATTGCATTCCTAGGAATATTTTTCTACCACCAGGACTTTCAAGTTTTCAAACTAGGAGCTTTAAACTCACTTGATGTGTAAGATATGTGCTTAACTGTAGCATCCAATTGCGCCACTGCTGTACAGCCACACCAACCCTCTTTCCACTCTCAACTGTTATGGATCCCAGGGGGTAATTTGGTGGAAGCTGTATTATTAGTTCAATAAAGATATCATCAACTGAATAAGTAGCAATGACTTCCCGTGCTGCAGAACGAGCTTTTACCTATGAAAAAAAGGCATATTAAAAAAACTCCACAGAGAGGTACTCACCATCTCTTGTCTTTATATATAAACGTAAACAATAAATACATTACTATACATATTAAATAATTTTCTTAGACCAAGTAAACACTTTTCACAAAGAAAATAAAAATTACTCATATCTTGGCAAACTAAAAAGAAATTAACAGCCATTTTTCAATCTAGTGATTACATTTTTTAATAGATCAAAAAGTAGTATATTGACAGCAGTATCTTCCACTTACTTCCTCAACTTCTCCAACATCCTAAACCTCATTCTTGCTCTTTTTTTTTTGAACAGAATATACTCAGAACCACAACCTGGTTCTGTGAAGTAAAATTTCTTAAGATGTTTGCAAACAACTAAATTAAAGGACAGAAAGTCTCACTAACCGTCATGCCATTAAAAAACTGTGTGCTGGTCTGAACAGAGGAGATTTCCTGGGAGGAAAGCACACTGCTAACATACTTGCTTGTAAATTTATCTACAACATTGAAGACACGTTTCTCACAGCTATTCCACCAAAGCCTGACCATGGCTGGCAAGTCTTTCAGTGTTATATGGTACACAGAGCAGGCCAAGTGTGGAAT